CTTGCTGTCTGACTCTCCAGACCTATCTTCAGACTTCTATTCAGTACATGGAATAGTGAATTCCTACTATTACAAGGATTAGCACTAAGCTTGGAGTTATTTCTCTCCCATTCTTCTTTACAAGGCTCACCTCATCAAGGAAGCCTTCCATGATCTAAGATTGTGACTTTCAACCCCGTTTGACTGTGACACACAGTAAGAAATAATTTATATGAGACTTAATACACACCACCTCAAATAAATAACTCAAAAATTTGTACTAGAGTATTCTTATTATGTACGTGAACTGATACTCTTCATTCTAATCCGTTTCAGTTTTTAAAAAAATCCTGATTGGAATCTTCTAAATCTATTTCTCAACGCACTAACGGATCATGAACTGCACTTTGAAAAATAACGCTCGGTAACATAAAAGGGTGATTACTTTGACATGAATGCTGGAAGAACAGAGGCACTAGCAAATACTTATGTGTGAGAGGGACCTCCCTCCCCCAACCAAGAGAATGCCATACCTTCTCTCTGCCCATACTAGATGCAGAGGTACCACAATGAGAAAGAGAACATGCATTTCACAGGTCAAGGGTGGGTGACAGACTCCTGGGGGAGAGGCCAGGGACATTCCAGAGGAAGAAAGATGAGCTGGGCTTTTTTGGTAACTAACTGGTCTATTCACAATCTGAATTCTTCCCCTTGTGTCGTCAGGTACTTATTTCCAACTGGACTATCAACACTTGCAGGCAGAAATATGTCATTCTTCGTGAAAATTCTATACTTCACCCGGAGACATAATTGAAGCAGAATTTAAAATAATAAAAAATATGGTTATTTTTTAAATCCAAGATAACTTTTCTATCTGTGGTTTCTGTTAAACAGTAACTCTCACTCCAAATGACACTGATTTGTTGATGGAAAAACAGCAAGGGGCGGGGGGTGGACATGAGAAAAAAAATCTAGGATAGGGAGGATAGATCATAAAATAAAACAGTAAAATGTTGGTAAAAGAAGCATCTCTTAAACCAAGTTTAAAAAAATCAATTTATAGCCTTGTATTTCATTTATGACATTGAATATTTGTAAGAAATTTAAAGATCCATTCTCAACAGTCACTGATGAAAGTTTTCAGAAAACATCTTTAACACATTTTAATGTAAGAGTAGTAAGTACTATTCCGGCCAACTTACTAGTCTTGAACAACTCAAATGTCTAATACTCAACAGATATGACCAGTATGATGTTTTCAAGAAGTGCTGTCACTTCACTGAAATGATGGGCACAATTTTCCCCTTTAGAAGCATAATACAAGTCTGCATTATTGCCACTCTACTCAATGCCCCTTTAAGAGGTAAAAAGGCCTACACCTATTAGTAACCCTCTCTAACACAGTCTGCTAAAATTGGGGACAGCAGGTACTACGAGGTCCTGCTTTTCATCTCTTACTCACTTCAGATTACTCAACAACTAGAAAAGTCACTTAAATGAAATAGGTAAATTTACATCATTAAAATGTTCTTTCTATCAGCAGGAGACAAGGAGGAAAACGTTTTTAAAAGATGAAGACTAAGGAACCCTGGAAAGTCCTGTGTGAATGCAGCAAATGAGCCAAAGATGGGTAGGATGAGGCCTGCAGGGGCAGGGTTGGAAGAGGAGTCTACAGTAAGTTGCTACGCCCCCGTTGATAGCAGTTTGGGACAAATACTACTGAAGACATTAACTGCCCTTTTTTTTTTTTTTTAGGTAGACCTAGTTAAATGTCAAACAGGCAAAAACGAAATTTTAACTTTTAATTCTCAAGCAGGGCTAGTTATTGGCCACCTTAAACGACAGTTCACTCATTCATCATTCCACAAGTACTTGATGCCTCCCGTACCAGGCACTAGTCTAGGCCCTATGGAAAGGGGTGAAAAAGATGCATAACAGCCAATTATAAATAAGTGTTGGCAAGAACGTGGAGAAACTGAAACACTTACCCATTGTTGGTGGGAATGTAAATGGTGCAGTTGGTGTGGAAAAGCTTGGCAATTCCTCAAAAAGTTAAACTAAGAATTACTATATGACTCATCAATTCCGTTGCTAGCTATATACTCAAAAAGACTTGAAAGCAGGAACACAGATACTTGTACACCAGTATTTATAGCAGCACTATTCACAATAGTCAAACGGCAAAAACTACTCAAGTGTCTATCAACAGGTGAATGGATAAACAAAATGTGGTATATACATACAGCAATAAAGAGAAATTAAGTTCTGATATATGCTAGGACATGGATGAACTTTGAAAATATTATGCTAAGTGAAATTAGCAAGGCACAAAAGAACAAATACTGTATGATCTTAACTGAAATATCTAAAATAGGCAAATGCATAGAAACAAAAGTAGATTAGCAGTTTAAAAGGGCTGGAGGGGAAAGGAGAAATGGTAAGTTATTTTAAAAAACGAAACAAAAACATGCACAAACACCCCTGCCCTCCCGGGGCTTACATTTTTGTGAGTGACAGACAATATACAAATGAATATACAAAATTTCAGATGCTGTGAAGAAACAATGAACTTAAGTTTAGTTAAACTAAAACTGGGGAATTATCACCAAACACATGACCTTTTTCTGTCCAAATTAGTGTGACAAACCACTTATTTTAGGAAGGCAATTTACTAGTAACAACACTTTTCTAATTTAAAACGTAACAAATTATGGGTAACATTTTGAAGAATGGGAATTCCAGAACACTTAATTGTGCTCATGATGAACCTGTACATAGATCAAGAAGCAGATGCTCAAACAAAACAAGGGGATACTGTACGGTTTAAAATCAGGAAAGGTGTGTGTCAGGGTTGTATCCTTTCACCATACTTATCCAATCTGTATGCTGAGCAAGTAATCCAAGAAGCTGGACTATATGAAAAAGAACGAGGCATCAGGATTGGAAGAAGACTCATTAACAACCTGTGATATGGAGATGACACAACTCTGCCTGCTGAAAAGAAGAGGACTTGAAGCATTTACCAATGAAGATCAAAGACTGCAGCCTTCAGTATGGATTACACCTCAACATAAAGAAAACAAAAATCCTCACAACTAGACCAATAAGTAACATCATGATAAACGGAGAAAATATTGTAGTCAAGGATTTCATTTTACTTAGATCCACAATCAACGCCCAAGGAAGCAGCAGTCAAAAAGTCAAACGACATCATTGTACTGGGCAAATCTTCTGCAAAAGACCTCTTTAAAGTGCTAAAAAGCAAAGATGTCACTTTGAGGACTAAGGTGTGCCTGATCCAAGTCATGGTATTTTCAATCATCTCATATGCATGAGAAAGCTGGAAACGAATAAGGAAGACTGAAGAATTGATGCCTTTGAATTATCGTGTTGGTGAAGAATACTACATATACCATGGACTGCCAGAAGAACAAACAAATCTATTTTGGAAGAAGTACAGCAAGAATGCTCCTTAGAAGCAAGGATGGCAAGACTTCTTTGTTTCACATACTTCGGACAGGTTACCAGGAGGGATCAGTCCCTGAAGAAGGACATCATGCTTGGTAAACTAGAGGGTGAGCGAAAAAGAGGAAGACCCTCAATGAGATGGACTGACACAGTGGCTGCCAATAATGGGCTCAAACATAGCAACGATTGTGAGGATGGCACAAGACTTGGCAGTGTTTCGTTCTGTTATACATGGGGTTGCTATGAGTCAGAACCAAGCCGACTGCACCTAACAACAACTTAAAACAGCGTAATTCCTTCAGTTGTAGAAGGCAGAATTATATTCCAGTCTTAGAAACAGAAAAAAACTTTTTTCAAGAAGATATTCTGCACAGGCGTAGCACTTTCATCACAGAGTGATAACAATGCTGACCAGAAGATTAATAAACTACTTCAGCTAGTGCCGGCAAGCCATCTACCGCAAAACATGAAAACTAGAGATGGACTTCTCAACAAGTCACTTAATTATCTACACTGTAACATGTGAAGGAGCCCTGGTGGCACCGTGGTTAAGCACTCAGCTGCTAACCAAGGGATGGGGCAGTTGAACCTACCAGCCACTCTGAGGAAGAAAGACGTGGCAATCTGTTTCCATAAAGATTACAGCCTTGGAAAACCTATGGGGCAGTTCCACTGTATCATATACGGTCGCTAATGAGTCGGAGTCGACTCGAGGGCAACGGCTTGAGTATGGCTATACATATACCTATAATTTTTTAAAACGGGGAGGGAGGGCACAAAAAGTTTTGGTAGAAAAGACTTTAAATCTAACAGGTGACAATACTTTCCACATCAATCAAATTAACAATGGTTCAAACATACTGCGAATCCCGAGACATTTAACCTCAAGGATGCACACATGTTTAAGTAATGGTTTTTAAAATTTAGATGCCAGGAGACAGGCCACGGAAAGGCACTAACAAATCCCAATTTTTAAGCTCTAAACGTTCCCGTTTAAGATTAAACAGAATCAGCAAAGTTCCCTCTCTCCACCTACTCCTTCAGGAAAATTGAAACCGTGCTTCAATTTGTACCTACAAACTATGTGTGTAGGAGTGACGAGAAGAATTTAGAGAGGTTTAAGAGGAAGACACCTGGATCAGGTGGGGCAGAAGCGAACATCCGGAACACCTGATTCCTAAACAGCAACGCGCCTTCTATAACAATCTAGCCCCTTCTATGTTAATCGCAAAAACGAGTTTTGGAACACGAGGGTGAATCGGAGAAGGTGGCCGGCAGATGATGCAGCCTGAAAACTACTCACAACACCGAATGTCACTTTTTCACGCTTACGCCCTCCCAGCGCCCAATTCACATTTGTCGACTGGACAAGACCCAAACAAGTGAATGAATGGAAGAGAAAGGGCGAGGGCAGGGGCGGCGCGCCCGGCACCGGGAGGCGCCCGGGGACCCTGGGGGGGTCGTGCGGGACGCGGGCCGGGCCTCGCCGAACAAAGGTGGCGCAGAGCGGACTGGAAGGGGCTCCCGGCGGAGCGGGGGCCGCGGACGCTCACCTCGTCGCCCCACTTGAGCACGTCCTTGTGCCGGTCCTTGACAGCATGGTAGATGTGCAAGAACTGGAGGATCCCGTGCCGCCGCACGTGGTCAGCGTGGCGCTTGGTCTCCTCCCAGCTCAGTGGCGAGCCTTGGGACAGCAGCCCCATGGCCGCCCCCTTCTCCTCCTCTGACGGCTGCCGCTCGTTCCGGGCGCGGGGCACCGGTCGCTCGCCGGACACTCAGCTACTCGTAGGAGACCGCGGCAGAGACTGCTCCGCCCCGTGGGGGCGCCTTCGGGCCGCAGCCGACGGACGGAGGGTCCCGTCCGCTCCGGCTCCCCCGCTCGGGAATCCCTGTCGCCCAGGTGACTGATCCAGTGGTCCGGTGCACCGCGCGCATACAGAAGCAGAAGACGGTAGAGTAGGTTGGAAAGCTCCTGTCCCGGCGGCCTCGTCCTTCGCCTGCTCCGGCTTCCGCCCTACTCCTGCTCCCAGGCAGCGACGACGGAACCCACGGCCGCGATGCGGTGGCGGCTCCCGCTTCTCTGTGCCGGTGTCGTGCACTGGCTTCTTCCTACTTGTGACCAAAACCTGCGCCGCAACGGAGCATGCCCAGTCCTCGCGTCCGCTCGCTTGCCGCTCCCGGCGCGATCCCTCGCTCCGGACTTTATATGCCACGGGCGGGGGGCGGGGGAGGGAGGCGGTGCGGGAGAGGAGGCGTGGCTGAGCGCCCAAATGAACTTCAAAGGGGGCTGCGGAGGAGGCGTGCGCAGGCGTGGTTAGGGCGGGGTGGTTGGGTGGAGGCGAGTGAGGTCGGTCTCACTTTAAGCCAAAGTGGTATGTAAACATTCGCTTTCCCTAACGTAATAAAATAAACTCCGGGTTGGGGAAGAAAGTAATTATGTGAATTAATGACGAATTCACCACGTTATTTTTTAGGTGAGAACGGTTTCACATTTATAAAAGCATGGTAAAAGCAGCGGGGTAGGGTGAGAAAAATATTAACGAGAAACAGATAAAGCAACTGTTCAACTCTTGGCTCCAACACATATTGACTGTATGACCTTGGGCAAATTATTTCCCCACCTACATGAAATGAGATTAACCTTATCCTTTATGTCGTAAGGATGTGCATAATGTACATGTGCATAGAATAGATGCTCGATAAATTAACCCGATTATTAAGAGGAATCAGTTTGTCTCCAAGCGTTCGGGCATATGTATAATTACATTAATTTGTGCATTCTTTAACTATGTGTTGGCATGTGCTTTCTGGATGGTGCATATCCCAACCATCATAACAAAAGGGACTTTGTCGACATATCCAGATGGACCATTTGAAGGAACCACTTCCAAAAATTTATCCTCCATCTAAACTTAAGTTTCATCCATTTAATGATGAAAATGATACTCGTGATGTTGATGTGGGCTTACCATGGGGGCAGAAGATAGTTGGAACAACTAGGGTTGGTTCTGTCCTGGTGGGGAAAAGAAGGAAGGGGGTACCTTTCCCTCAGATAATTGTCCAATAAATATGTGTTGACAGAATGATGACTTGGCAAGCCAGGGGAAAAGTGTTAGCAACTAGATTATACATGTACTGAGGCTAGACAATGTGTCCTTCTTTTGCCTCCATTCCTCACACTACAGAGTTAACATTTAGTAAGCACTTATTGGCACAGTGGTTAAAAGTTCGGCTGCTAACCAAAAGGTCAGCAGTTTGAATCCACCAGCCACTCCTTGGGAACGCTACTGGGCAGTTCTACTCTGTCTATAGACTCGCTATGAGTGGGAATCAACTGGATGGCAACAGGTTTTTTTTTTTTTTTTTTAATTTCTGAATAAATATATGACAGTGGGAATCTCTTTCCCTACACCCTCTGTATTGAGTGTGCCTATCACAGGGCTTGGGGACATCCAAAGTCTGGCTGTGATTTCCACAGTGGGATGTGTGTATATGTGTGCAGAGTGTGGTGGGAGTGAGGTTTGAAGCTTAGGAGATATTTCAACCCTCAGTGCTCAGACAGGATAAAAACTAAGCCTATTGGTCTGGCACACAAAGCCATTTCTAATTTGTCTGCAGCAGACCTCCACTGCCCCAAGCAGGTCGTACCCTCCCCACCAAACCTGTGTGGTCTTGGCTTTCTGCCTTGACACACACCGTTTTGTGTGCCTGCAATTCTCCACCTAACACACTCCTGTTCATCCTTTAAGTCCCATTCACCCGTCTTTGTATTCAAGTTGCATCTGTGCATGCCTCTGTTCGTACATTGTGATTGTTGTTGTTATGTGCGGTGGAGTCGATCTGGACTCACAGAGAGCCTATGGGACAGAGTAGAACTGCCCCATAGGGTTTCCAAGGAGCGGCTGGTGGATTTGAACTGCTGACCTTTCGGTTAGCAGCTGAGGTCTTAACAACTATGCCACCAGGGCTCCGTACATTGTGATAGGATTATTTAAAACATATCTCCAAACCTTTCTCTGGGGTAGAGATGATTTATGCCTTTGGTACCTTTAATTCTAGAAAAGTGCTTGGTATACAGTAGGAGCTTAATAAATGTTAGCTTCCCTGTGGAAAGCAGGTAGTTTGGGGAAGACATGATTGTCATTGTTTCACAAGCAAGTAAGGCATCCAAAGAAAAATTTTGTTATTCTAATAATTGCACCTCACATTTGCATAGACCTGCACTGTTAGCATGATAGCCATCAACCACACGTAACTATTGAGCACTTGAAATGTTGCTAACATGACATAGAGAAACTGAATTTTTAGTTTTATTTCATTTTAGTCACTTTGAATGTAAATGTAATGATTGACATTCCATTCAGTTATTGGAAAACTTTTAAGTTTGGAACAAATAGAGTATATGGATCCACTCTGTCAACTGTAAATTTTATGAAAAGTGTTTCCAATGAAAATTTAGTGTCCATATTGAGTTGCTCTGTGAGTATAATATGCACACAAGATTTTGAAGACTTAGTATGAAAAATAATGTAAATAGCTCATTAATAATTTTACATCGGTTGCATGTTGACATTTTAAATATGTTGGGTTAGATGTTATTTAAATGAATTCACTGTTTCTTTTTAGTTTTTTAAAGTGGCTGCTAGAAAATTTAAAATTATATATGTGGCTCACATTCTATTTTATTCAACAGCGCTGGTGTAGATCTTTACACTTTACAAAGTGTACACTTTTCCCATACATCTGCTGCATTTCCGTAACAATACCATGAGGCTGGTCTCTTGAAAGCGTCTCAGCTTCATTTTAGCGAGGAAACGGGTGCATGGGCGATTCAGTAAGAGACTAAGTTCTAGTCTATCAAAAGCCCTACATGGTAGTGAACGTAGTGAAATTTAACACTTAATTTGAGTTATGCTGCTCCAGATTCTAATTCACATTCACAGAAGGGAGCCTTTCCCTCTCTTCCCCCAAATTCTGAACCAGCAACCCAAGCGAGTGCCCTTGGACTCTGGACAATCCCCATTGGGTGCAGGCGTAGTGGTACTACCTGGCAAATCATGCCAAATTTAAGCCATGAGTTCCACTGTGCATTTTAGCAACTATTGCTATAAAGAAAACAACAGCAACGATAACAACATAGGTCAACAGAAATCATATTCAACAAGTCATTTCCTCTCTATTTGACAGTGTTTTGAATTTGTAGGTCTATTTCTCGATTTCATTCTGCAGATTGCACTCTCCGACTGGGTTTCCACTTCTGGGAGTAAGTTTCTAGCGGACAGCCCAATGAGGGCTAAACAATTGCTAAAGGGGAAAGATGGCGCTCATATCTTGCAGAATCAGCTCTCCCCGAGGCCATGTACAAAGGATTCTCTGGTCATTTCTTCCGCAGAAAAACTCAGTACCCGCTCTGCAGGCCCTAACTCCCGCTTGCCCAGAGGAGGTCCAGGTACAGCATCCTCGCCAGTCAGCACCCAGGACGGCAGTAAGCCCCGCCTCCAGGGCCGCCTGGAAAACTCGGACTGCGGAGCCGCGCAACTGGGGATGCCGTGCGTTCGCGCGGCCGAGCTGAGCATGCTCGGAGGGCGGGTCGTTCGCCAGAGGAAGCGGCGCCGGCCGCGGGCGCTGCACGCCGCGCAGTTGTTGTGATACAGCCCCGCCACGTGATCGCGTCGGGCCCGCCCCAAGGCCCCGCCTCCCAGGCCCCGCCTCCCCGTGAGTCAGCATTTTATGCAAGCTCAACGCAGTAGGTGCACGCTGAGCACCCGGCTTTGGGGGCAAAGTCTAGGTCCGCCACTCTTGAGCGTTGGGCTCCTGCTGGTGTTGCAGCAGCTATTTCAGATATGTTGGTTTTCGGGCTTCCCGGCAGGGAGGAAGAAAAAGTCACTTCTCTGTGGTTACCCAGTTCCCAGTTATCCTTGACTCCGAGGCCCTGCAGAGAACCCTGGGCGGGCCTCGCAAAGATCAAATGAGGAAGGCTGAGGGGCTGTGCCTAGGGGAGTCTGAGAGAGGCACATCTAGGTTTAATCCTGTTGGGAGGGTCGCAGCCCTGCCTTTGCTGCCTCCTTCCTGAGCATCCCCTTTCCTTCGTAGTCTAGGCGGGCGGGGTGGGGGGCAGTCTAACAGCTGCTTTACCACAGGCACTTCGTATGATCTGGAATCCGGAGCACAGCCTTGGTTGTTGCTACGTTTTATAGATGAGACAACTGAGGTTCTGTAAGGTTAACAGTGTTGACGCTGGGATTTGACCTCCAGTGTGACTTCAAAGCCTGTGCACTATTACACACTGCCTGGGCGAAACTGATGGCTTGCTTTCCGTGGAATTATTCTTGGGACTTGATACTTCCTTCACACAGCCGTCTTTCTCCCTGGACACACCCTGTCCCCAAAGCCCTCTGGTTTGCCTTGTTAGCTGTAGTGGAGTAAGCCCCAACGCATGGTAACCCCATGGATAGATGTGATAGGATTTTCATTGGCTGATTTTTTGTAAGTAGATCATCAGGACTTTCTTCCTAGTCTGTCTTAGGCTGGTCCCAAAGCCCGGCTGAAACCTGTTCAGCATCGCAGTAACATGCGGTCTTACACTGACAGACAGGTGATGTCTGTGCCTTAGGTGCTTTGAAGGAAATGTAGCATGTCCTCTGTCATGGAAGATGAGAATTCTACCACTGAACTACCACTGCCCTCTCTGGTCCGCCTAGGCGGTGCTTACAATCTTTTCTTTTTCTTTTAATTTCTTAACTGGTAAAAAGAAATACGGGAGTCCCTCTGTGGCATAGTTGGTTAAGCACTTGACTTTCAAGTGAAAGACTGGCGGTTAGAACCCACACTGAGGCACCTTGGAAGAAAGGCCTGGTGATCTGTGTTGTAGGGGAAGAACATTATAAAGTTTAGTAAAGCAAAAAGAAAGTTTTATTTGGCGTATGTTCAAAAGGGCAGAAGTGGGAAAAGGACAACCATGCTGCCGGAGCCATGTCTGCTCTACTTCAAGGAAATACCACAGAACAGACAAAAGTGGGAAAACGGACAAGCATGTTGCTACAGCCGTGTCTGCCGGAGTCCAAAGAATATTAAAGAATAGGCAAGAGCGGGAAAACGGACAAGCACGCTGTCAAAGCCATGTCCAAAGACCAATTACAGAGC